TTGCTTTTTAAATGGATATTTTAAATAATTACAGACTAACCCAAAATACCTGCAACAAAAATACAGAATTTTTATATAATTGTATTTTTAAAGTTTTACATATTAAAAAAAAAAACATTATCTTCTTTTAATTTATTTATTATATAAAGATATATTTATTTATTATATAAAGATATTTGTATGTTTATAAATTATCTAGAAAAATATTAAATATATAAATAAATTTTAAAATTTGTTTCAAGTATTTAATATCTATGTATTATAAAAGAATTAATTCTATGTTATATTATTTAATCATTTACAATATTTATTCTATATAAATTTTTGTATATATTGTTTAGCGTATCTTATGTTAAGATAACTCAAACATTTATTATAATAAAAATAAAAATTAATAAATGAAAGGAACTATCGCTTATTTTATATTAAAATATATAATATTTATGTTATAATAAATAAAGTTTAATATTTTAAGCCCTTAGTAAAATAATGATATTTTATAAAAATTATATTTTAAATAGTTAAAAATTTTATTTACAAAAATTAAATATATTTAATAATCCATAAAATAATTTTAAATTCTATAAATAATAACATCTTATAATCTAAAATAAACATAATTTCATAGTAAAATGCAATAAACAGATGATGATATTCTTATATAGAAAATTCTTCATAATTAAAAAGAATAATATTAAATATAATAATTATAGTAATATGAAACCTTTTAAATTATTTACACCTGAAAAACAAGCTAAATATTAAATATCATAAAGCTAATTTTTATATTTCCCATTTAAAATTGTTTTCACACTCTATAAAAAATCAAATTACTTTTAAATTTCTTTTTCTAAAAAAAATCCTAAATTTTTCTTATTTTCTACTTAAAAAATTTAAAAATTTTAAAATCATTTAGAGGTGAGAAGAGAGTAAATATTTCATTTGTTATTTATTAATATCTTATTAATTAAAAACCATAGAAAAATAAAAATATAAATTAACTATTATTTTAGGTTATTTAAAAGATTGCTTCTCATTTTTTTAATATAGTAATATATCATTTTTTTAAAAAAATAAAATAAAATAAAGTACTATTTTATTTAAAAATTTGATATTGTGATGATATTCAATATATGATAAATTAAATTATAGTAATTTGTTATTTTTTTCTGTTCTTCTTTTATATACATATATTTTTTTTATAAAAAAAAGTTGTGATTGTAATTATATTAAATTAAAATATATATATATATATATATATATATATATATATATAAAAAAATTAAAAAGTAGAAATAAATGATATAAAATAGAATAATAGTAACTTAAAAATATAAAAATTTAAAGAAAGAATTATACGAAGAATAAAAAATCGAATAATTTTATTTAAAAAATTCAGAATTAAAATAGCAAAATTAGATATTGAATTTTTCTCAAAACGAGACTAATAGATTTACTTAAATAAAAAAAAAGAGAATATCTTAATCATTTCATTACTAAAACTGTAATGATATAAAAAATTCTATAATAAATTATGTTTTGGAATAAAATAATTATAAAGATAATAAAAATACATACATAAATAAATAACTAGATAAAAATACAACAAAGTCAGTAGTATAAAATGCTTCTAAATATTAAGTTTTTTTTAATAATTAAAAGTTCAAAAATTAAAAAAATAATAATTCTAATTTGACGCCAAGCACTGCAAATTAAACTATTATTAGTAATTAACTTTTTCATATTAATAATGAAATATAAAATAATAATGAAAATTAAATATAAGAGTATCTATATTATTTATATAGTTGTAATTAAATAGTATAAATTGATGAGAAAATAAATAGAATTTTGTAAAGATATAATTAATACAAAGGTATTGTTGATAATATTGACTAAAGAATAAAGCAAAAACGACAAAACAAATATGATTTTTTGATGGAATATAGTTTATAAGCCCCTAAAAGCATTGAGATATTAAAAATCGAAGATCCAGAAATTAAAGATATTTTAAACAGGCAAGATGAATATTTATAAAATAAACAAATTGCTAATTTTAGATATATGAATAAAAAATATAAAAAGAATTGGAATAAATTCTGTTTTTCTAAACATAGCTAAAAGAATAGATAATAATAAACAAATTATAAAAAAAATAATGTTCTTGAAAAAATTAAAAAAGAAAATAATTGAACTTTATAAAAATTTATAAATTATATATATTATACTTTACATATAAAAACTTTTTTTATTTTTTTTTTTTTTTTTCGAATTTTTTGGTGGTTATTTAATTAAATATTTTAATTTTTTTAATAATAATATTTTTTATATTAAAAGCTTATTTTAAGTATAATTTTCATTAAAAAAAGTTGTTTTATCTGATAACTTAGTTTTGTTTTATTTATTCTATTCTCTCTCTTTTTAATCTTTCTTCTCTTAGTATCCTTAATTTATCTTATTTAGATTCGTTTTCATGCTTTTTTTTATGCTTATGTTCTTTTTTTTCTTTAGATTTATCACGCTTTTTAATTTTTTTTTCTTTTTTTTCAGGAATTATAGTGTATAGTTGATTTTTTTATTTTCTAAAATTATCAATTTCTTATTTTATATAATTATTTTATTATTATTCTTCTACTTAATTTTATTTTTAAGGCATTGATGCATACCATGGTATTTAATTTTCATTTTTACCAGCAAATTTAGTTGAAATATCGTAAGGTTTATTTTCATAAAATTTTTTCTGTTTCATATCTAACTCTATTTACTATTATTTTTTAAATTGTTCTTCTTCGATTTCAAACAAGTTAACTTTTTCTTAAAAAAAATAAATATTTTATACTTGTTTATTACCTTTTTCTTTTTGATGATTTTTATTATCTTTTTGTGTTTAATTCAAAAAACCTTAAATTACTTTACTCTAATCAATCTAGATTTTCTCGCTTTTTAAGTCTTAGTACATATCTAAAGTCCTTTTTTATCTCAAATCTTCCAACAATAAATTTGATTATTCTCTTATTTTTTATGTATTTTGTTCATTTTATTTTTATTCTAGTCGTTTTTTATCTTTATCAACTTTTAATCGATTATCTCTATTGTATACATTCCATTTTTTTTATGGTAATATGTTTAAACCACCATGACCACCCATTTTTATTTATTTTATAAATATAAATATTTTAAAAAAATTATAATTATTTAATATATTGATTTTTTATTAAAATACTATAATTTTTTAATTTTATAGATAATACATATAAAATATTTTTTAAAATAAAATAATATATGAAAGTTTAAAAAGTTAAAAAATCTAATATTGATTATTTAAAATATCGAAATAATTAAATAGTACCATCTATTTTTATTTTATTTAATTATTTTAATTTATATGTAAAAAATTAAAATATTATATACAAAAAAATATATTTGAACTATTACAACTTAAAATTATAATATATTATTTTATATTATAAAATGCGAAAATTCTATAATTTCAGAATAAATTTATAATTATTTAAATTTAGATTTAAAATTTTTTAAACATTTTTGACATTATTTTGTTCCTTTTAAATTTACAAAAATTCAGTATTAAATTTTTCAATTTTATATTTAAATAATTTGAATTAAAATTTATAATTATTAATATTTTATAAATAAAAAAAATTAGGAAATAATTTTTTTTAGTAAGATTTTTTTATTTTAAAATTAAAAGAAAATATATATATAATAATTAAAAATAATTAAATAAAAATTTACACAAAAATAAATATCAAATATGAGTTAGTAATAAAATAAATAAGATTAGTAAGTTATTTAAGATTAATAATAATACTTTAATAGTGAACAAATTTAAATAAATGATGAAGATAAATATTTATAATCCACTGTACCAATTTAATATTATAAATGTATGTTATAAGATACATAGGATTTAAATATAAGTAATTAAATTAAAATTTTATAATTTTAAAAAGTCAACAAAAACATTTTATAAATCTTTAGAAATTCACCAGGAGTTATATTAATATGCATATTACACTTTATAAAGCATTAACAAAGTAATTTAAATAACCTTTTTTAACTTAAAATATTTTTAAAATATGGATACTAATTATTTAATTAGGATAAAATTACAGATAAAGAAGAAATATAATAATTTATAAATGATTACTTACAAATTTTTATATAAAAACTAATGAACTTAAGGTAACATTAAAAATAGTTTTATATATCTTAAATAAAAATTATAGATATAAATAATTTTTTTTATTTTTTGATTATTATATTTATTAATTTTATTAAAAATATATA